ATGGTGTTACAGCTTTGGTGGATAAGGTGAGAGCAACTGACATCATCTTCCTGGTCTTCTGCAAAGCGTTTGATGCTGTCCCGCACGACATCCTGGTCTCTAAATTGGAGAGACATGGATTTGACCAATAGACCACTCAGTGGATAAGAAACTGGCTGGACGGTTGCACTCAAACAGTTGCGGTCAATAGCTCCATGTCCAAGTGGCGACCAGTGATAGTGGACCAGTGCTGTTTAACATCTTTGTTGGAGACGTGGATGTTGGGATTGAGTGCGCCCTCAGCAAGTTTGCCGATGACACCAAGCTGTGTGGTGGGGTCAACATGCTGGAGGGAAGGGATGCCATCCAGAGGGACCTGGACAGGCTGGAGAGGTGGGCCCATGCAAACCTCACGACGTTCAACAAGGCCAAGTGCAAGGTAATGCTCACGGGGCAGGGTAATCCCAAGCACAAATGCAGGTTGGGCAGAGAATGGATTGAGAGCAGCCCTGAGGAGAAGGACTTGGGTGTGTTAGTGGATGAGAAACTCAACATGAGCCAGCAATGTGTAATCACAGCCCTGAAGGCCAGCTGCATCATAGTGGATGAGAAGCTCAACATGAGATAGGAATGCGCGCTCGCAGCCCAGAAGGCCAACCGTATCCTGGGCTGCATCAAAAGAAGTGTAGCCAGCAGGTCATGGGAGGTGATTCTGCCCCTCTACTCTGCTCTGGTGAGACCCCACCTGGAATACTGCATCCAGCTCTGGGGCTCCCAACATGAAAAGGACATGGACCTGCTGGAGTGTGTCCAGAGGAGGCCACGAGGATGCTCCGAGGGCTGGAGCACCTCTCCTATGAAGACAGGCTGAGAGAGCTGGGGCTGTTCAGCCTGGAGAAGAGAAGGCTCCGGGGAGACCTTATAGCGGCTTTCCAGTCCCTAATGGGGGCTTCTAAGAAAGATGGGGACAAACCTTTTACCAGTGTCTGTTCCCAAAGAAAACACTCAGGAACAGCAGGAAAAAAAACCATCGGAAATATTTCTGCTAAACCTAATGACATTTCCTCAGTCACAAGATTTTCTCACTATAGTCATATTTTCTCCTTAATGGGAAATACCAAGTGTCAGCTTTTATAGTCACACTTCCTAGTAGGAACATCGTTAGTAAAAGGGGTAATTCCTAAAAGAAGTTGATAAAATATATTCAAATTTTAACATTTACCTCTAATAAAGGGAAGAGATCTTTGTCTTCATCCTTCAACATGTTCCACTTCTGGATTAATGGAGGCATTAACATCTGAATATATTCCTGTTTAGGATGAAAATGCATTAGCTACTGAAACACTTCATTGCATACTAGTTTATTTCAAAGCTACTTTTTCAGCAAAATAAAATTGATATATACTGTAATTCAATCATTGTTGCAAAATGAAGAAGTAGTTTAATATTAGAATATACAATTTCTGTCTTAAGATTTTTTGCCGAGGCACATAAGTGCCTTCGCAGAACAAATCTATTCCTCCAGGTTTGGCTTCAGTCTAGCAACTTCTTATAGCTGCTTGAGGTGTTAAAAATCTATAGGATTACCTCAGGACCTACAGAAAACGTTTTTACCAGCAATGCCGTCTGGCTGTGCATCTGTCATCTGCTTTTCTCAACCATCTCCCATTGCCCTGATGCTACAACCCTATCCTCCCAAGTTCTTGCAACCTCTTAACTACCCATTGTTGAAGAAAGTAATTTTCTATCCTTCCAGAAGGGTGCACTTACCAATTCTGTATAAAGATTTTGTCTCTTTCCTGCCACTGCTGTCACAGTCACAAGGACATTAAGCAAGGCATCCCTGTAGTACTGTTGCTCCCAGAAAGCATCCAAAGAGCCAACAGATGCTGCCAGCTAATGCTATGTCCAAAGATACAATATTCTAAGTGACTGAAGAAAGTCCCACCATTGCCAGGAGCTCCCATTTAGCTTCCTCCTGGTGTTGTCAAAAGTCAAGCTGGCCAGGGCCAAAGAGACACTGGAAAAGGTGTCCTTTGATGGTGTGGAGTCTTGGACGGCATGTAAAATGCCATGACAACAACCCAAATTGTTTTATTCTAGTGTGTCTATATCATGTGAAGCACTATAGAGAAATAAAGCAAATTTCAATAGCCATCATAAGATGCACATGCGATATGTATGCATATCCTATTAATGAACATATGTACACTACAAAAAACCCACTATATTTGCCTGTGTGTTATCTGTACTTTGTCTAAAGGATTCTGTGTTTTTATATATAAAATGCACATCTGTCCCACTCTTTGATAAAGCGATTTCTAATGATGATGTGCTCCAATACATTGGAAAGACACACAGAGCAGCTTAGCTATACTGAAAGAGGTTAAAAAAAAAAAGTAAAAAGAAATCAGTCATTAGAAATTAGAACACACATTCCACCAATTTCTTTAAAGTCCCATTTCATATCTATATTGATATATGCATCTCCTCTGAGCTGAAAAATTTGGAGAATGGAGGAAAAAAAGTCACAATAATGAGAAGTGCATTTCACAAGCCACCACACAGAACTGTTTATTCAAAATGGGGAATATTTGTGTAGTGGGAAAATTACATGTAGTCTATGTATTTTACATGAAAATATTTATTATTGAAGCCTACACAGAAAGGTCATCATTTCTGTTTTATAACATGTAAAGCACACTACAAAACCCACAGAACCAGTTTTTCAAAATATGACAAATGCTTCTACAGAGCATAAGGTATACTCACTGGTTTATTTAGATGATGTCCGACAGAATCTGCTAGAGTTCCTATAGCATCATAAAGAATGAGCAGGTTTTTATGCTGGTATTTACTAAATGCGAAGACCAAAGTGTCAAGTATATATGCAAGATAAGGAACAAGCTCTGTACAAGCCTCCTCTTCTAGAGTAGCAAAGGCACTGAATGACAAAAAACCCACCCCAAATAGGTCAGTCAGTATCTTGGAAAAAACAAAACAAGACCACCCCAAAACACCCCACATTACCCATTTATGTTTAAACACAGGACTATATTTAGTTCTCAAATTCATCCAAGGTATGTTTTCAAAATGGTATTACTGAGACAAACTCAATCTATTTTGATTGAACACAAAGATTCAGCTCTTACATTGTGATGAGCAAAATTTTAAAAATATTCCTGTAAAACCTGTTATGTGTACATGTTACAGATCTAATTCTGCTTTATGAAGAAACTTTCCTGGCAGTCTGCTGTGTACACTCCTGCCCCACACAAACTGACATGTAAAAGCTTTATTTCCTGAGCTTCCTGCACAAGAGGTATACCCATTCCATTAATGGTGTGTCCATTAAAATATTTTTTTTTAAATATCAGCAGACAAGGGGGAGAAGGGAAGCTTACCTCCAAGGATCTCCTTTCAAGAGAAAGGGAATATCCCTTGAAATAACTGTAACCTAATGTTTTGGTAATCCTGAGCTAAATACAAACACTACCACTAATGCAATGATAGGAAAGTTTTCCTTTGTCATCAGCATTGACCTTGTTCATAGGCATATAAAAGCCAGATTTCTGGTCAATGGAACTTCAAATATTGAAAATAAACAGGTGTCACATACAGATAATGTCTTTTACTGCAACAGATTGTTTAGTTAGGTGATTCATATACACTGAAAACAAACTGGACAGTACAAATTATCTGTTTTCATTTTATTACAACTCAGAGTAATTTGTGACTACTGCAGAAGCAGCTGAATCTACTCCAAATTAAAAGGAAAAAATAAAATACATTAAGAGCTAGAAATGGAGTCATGCATTCATCGATAAAGGCATTAAAATAGTTTCCCATGAAAAAGCAGTGTCATGGATAGTGCTTTTTATTTAAGCTTTGGCTCACCTGCAGGCAGCTTCTTGTACTCTCTTGTTGCTATCCAGGATACGCTTTAGCAACTCAGTCATTAATGGCTTCAAGTATGTGTCTGGGGGTTGACTAACTACCCAGTGTGCATAGCGACTAAGAGTCCAGCATGTAATGGAGCGCACAAGAGCCTTTTTGTTAGAGAGGCACTGAATAAGGTGAGGGATCAGCTCAGGAAGATATGGAATCATACCCTGCATGCAGCCTAGAAGGAAAAATATAGCTATTACAGTACAAGAATTAGAAAATGTAATAGAACTTTTTGTTGTTTCCTAAAAGGGACATATTTTCATTCTCTATCATGTAGTAATACATTTTAACAATATACAAAGCAAGTCTACCTAATTTATGTTAAGTCCTAAAAAGAAACCTCACCATAATCAATAATTAAAATCTGCAATCAAATTCACATTTATTTCAACTACGTTTCTACTTCAATGCTTCCCCAAGCCCCAGAAATTCTGCTTTATTAAATCGAGCATAGCAAGAACATCCAAATAAAATTAGTTTGTAAAGCTTAAAAGTCTTATGCCAGTCTACTCAGAGTGACCAAGACAAGTAGAGAAAGATTCAAGTAGAGAAAGATTAGGCCTTGATAACAAATCTTCATATCATTAAAAAGGATTCCTTAAGAAATTTAATTTTCTTCTTGTTTTCTCCTAATACCACACAAATACTGACCAGCAATAAAAGATACATGCTTCAAGTCAGCAAGGGCAGTAATACACTGAGATTTGCCAGAAGTACTAACTTTTACCTTGCTTGACTTGAAATCAAAACCAACAAAAAAAAGTTTTCTAGCAACAAAGAAAAAATATGTTCACTAGGCACTGTAGGAAAAGATAGAAAATTCAGGCATAGACCCAAACTTATTCCTTCAGTTTGCAAAATGAACAGAGATGCTGGAAATAGAGGCATAAAGCCAAGCCTGGGAGTAAATACAAAGAAATGGAAATTATCACATTTAAATCAGAGAACCATCCACAAAAAGCAGCTCAGGGCACTGAAGTCACAGGACCAGTCTTCGCCATTTCTGAAAACACTGAATGAAATGTAAGGCTCAAAATTATTAAATATTCCAGTTGTATCAAATCAAAGTAGAACTTCACAAGAGACCAATAAATATATCCTGCAGAGTTAAGAAAGGGAGGAATAAAATAAATTATCTAAGTTATTTAGCCTCCAAAACATGCAGAGATTTCAAAATGAAAAATTAAACAAATAACTGTAGTCACCAACTAGTAGATGTAGAGATTAATCACTAAAACCAGATCAGCTAAGGATGTATACTTGTTTGCACAAGTAAACTCACCTAGAAGGAATCGCAGAGCTGCTTTAGAACCAATCAAAAATTCAGCAACATGATATGCACTGTTGCCTTACCTTCAGCGATTGCTCCAAGAACAAGGATACCAGATTCTTTGACTACCCATTCGGGATGGAAGAGCAATTCCTTCAAAAGGGGCAAGATGTGTGGCAGAAGTTCATCACGAAATACATTGGCTAGGACATCTAGAGCAGCAGCAGAACATTTCCCTGAGGGGAATTAACAGTGTTAATCTCTGCTTATTATACAAGCAGTTGTAGTTAAATAGTGTAATTCTCATTTTAACTTTGAGCTGGAAGAAAGATACTTCCATTTCATTGCAATACACAGGGATCCACTGTGCTTTGGTACAAAGCCACCGCTCTTAGAAAGCCAATTTTGCAGTATTTTTATAGCCACTAAAAGGACTTGTACACTAGGGATATTAAAACACTCACTGACAGGAACCACACCATTATATTGCAACATTATATACATTACGTAATTTCAGGATGGTATAACACTATGGAAGTGGGAAGGCCTGTGACATGAACGTAACATACCAAAGAAACTAAGGAGAAGTAGCCTAAAAATATTAGCAACTGATTAAAAAGAAAAGGTTCAAACATGATTCGTGTCTGAAATTAAAAAAAAAAAGGCAAATTCATCAATCTCTAGAGACTGAAAGAAATTCACTGACCTCTGCTCTGAGTTTTTATATCTTACTCCTAATTCTGTGAAGCACTGATACAAAGAACACCACCTCAAAATTTGTTTGAAAGTTTTTAATCTCATATTTTTAGCAAACAAAAGCTCATAAAAGAACAACTTCAAAACATGATTCAGAAATCCTTACTCTGGTTTTCTGCTGTGGTGCTGTCATGTCTAGACAAATAATGCTCGTATTACAGAAATTATACTGCACATTTTTGCTTATTATGATCTCAGTTCCTTCTTAATCTGTCAGAAATGACTAAACTGGAACAAAAGTATATACAAGACAGGTAATCAGGCAAAATATACATAGCAAATGTAACACAAAAATCCTGAACTGGACCTAAACTGCTAGTGGGCCCAAACAGGACACAGATAAGTTTTCAGATGGGAGGTAGCAACTACTAGAATAGATAATAAATACAAAACTTTTTCTGCTCTGCTCCTAGATGATGTCCAACAGGCTTGAATAAAACAAAATATGAGCCCTCAACTCAGAGCAGATTTCCACTGCAAAGCAATAATAAACAGCAAGACCAAGCACCTGCTGCTTTCAGCTAAGACTGTTTCAGCTTTCTACTAGAGGAAAGAAAGGTGGGCTCCCATATTTAGTTACCTGGTCCCATTAGTAAGCAATGCTGCTAATTGTCAGGCTGTGCTGATGTTTCTTCTCTGTTCAGATTGGAAGTCAAATATAGAACACCAGATAAGAAATAGGACACACAATTCTGAATTTCAGATAATCCAAATTCTCTCAAATCCAGATGGCATACATCAAAACAGATTTCTTAACTGTTCTGTTCTCTCTCTTTCCTAGTCAGCTTTATCTTCCTCATGATCTTAACCAAAACTGTGGACCACAGGGCGCCCTCTGACATTTCAGGTATGTTTTTCAGAAAATATATATTTAATTCTGCAATCTCTACACACAGTGACGACTACAAGAACAGCATTATGAATTTAAAGCTATTAAGAAATAAAGATACTTTACAAAAGCAAGCATATTTGTACTTATTTTCTTATAAAATAATAACAATAATTTTAAAAGCTTAGCTATGTCTCAAGGTTGTTTGATCCATAAGCTTCAAGGTATGTCCATCTGTGCTACATCTGAACTACTGGTAATGGCTGTCAGTAGTAGCATGTTCAAATGGAGGGGGGGGAAAAAAATCAAACACAAACCAGATTTAGAGGGAAGACTGAAGTAAAAGAAAGCATTATTAAGCTTCCTCAAGCTAAGAACAATGTGTAAGACTCTTGTTTTTATAAAGTTAAACAGGTGATCCATGATTTGTATTATTGTGTAGAATTAAAAATCAAAATACAAAGCTTTGGTTGAATTGCATTCAGTAGATGTTTGCAGCTCTATTGGCCATATTTGAAATCAGTTTACAGATAGCTAGCTTTTGTCAATACAGTTACATAGCCAAAACGTCACCTTAAAGACTCCCCCTGTGCCCCAACTACCAATTATATCAGCACATAGTTCTTTTTCTAGTCATAAGCAAAGCCTCAGTATTCCTATACACAAACTCCTTTTTTTACTGTGGTTCTTGTATTATGCAAATAGCTATATTTTAAAACATTTTACACATTACTTTGACATACTTAAGTTCCAGTCAGAAATAGTATCATCATCATCATCAAGATCATCGTCATCATCATCTTCAATACCATCTTCTTCATGCTGCTGAGCTACCGTCCGTGAACGATGAAAACGAGGTCTTATGTCCTGTTCACTATCTGGAATAGCTTCATCTTCTTCAACATCCCCCTGTCATCAAAATGTTTTATCAGATAAAATAGTGCAACTATATTGCTCAAGAAACTTAAGAATGTAGTGTAAATTTTAGTTCAAGATTTTATAAGCATATAAAAGATTCACTTGTGCTGCCCAGCTAACTAAAAATGCCATCGTTCCTGCATTCTGCTGCAGTATTTACCAGAAAAATGACAGGAAAATAGAGGGAAGAGAGGTAAGCTCACACAAATGCACAAAGTATCCTTCTTGTTAAGAAAATTACTCTTGATGGGAAGGAATTAGAAGGAAGAGGAGATAAGAGAAATTCTAGTACACAGAAACATTCTAAAATGTTGTGATAGAAAAAGCTGTGTAGTTCAAGCTAGAAGGGCATTAAAATTAATTCTAATCTTTTTTTTTTAGGCTGCTTTGTTGCATTAATTCATGGGTAAAAGTATCCCAGCTCTGCCAAAATTGGGTGGGAGGGGACAGGGGCAAAGCAGGAAAGCCAACAGATTATTTTTCAACAAACATGGCAGCAGTCACATTTAGTTTTTGGAACAGCACACCTTGCCCCAGAAAGCTAAATCTCCATTGAACAAATTGCAGACCAGACCTGGCCTATCAGCTCAATCATTCTGATTTACAAGTCAGAAGCTAAACAGATATTCTGAGTATAAAAGAAGTCAATGCTTACCTTCAACAGAATAATATCGATCTCTGAATATTTCATGCCATTTACCAGAACAGGTATCAGTCTACAAAGAAATATTAATACATGTCAAGAAGGAAGACCCAGGTAATTACAGGTCTGTCAGTCTCACTTCAGTGCCTGGTAAAATTATGGAGAAGGTCATTCTGGGAGTTATTGAAAAACACTCAAGAGACAATGCAGTTATTGGTCATAGCCAGCACGGGTTCACAAGGGGAAAGTCCTGCTTAACTAACTTAATGTCCTTTTATGACAAGGTCACCCATCTAGTTGGCCAAGGGAAGCCAGTAGATGTGGGAATTTTTTGGATTTTAGCAAAGCGTTTGATACTGTCTGTCACAGTATCCTTCTGGACAAGATGTCCAGCATACAGCTAGACAAGTCCATAATACGTTGGGTGAGCAATTGGCTGACAGGTTGGTCTCAAAGAGTTATAGTAAATGGGGTCTCATCAGGCTGGCGGCCAGTCACCAGTGGGGTTCCTCAGGGCTCAATTTTAGGGCCAGTGCTCTTTAATGTTTTAATAAATGATCTGGATGCAGGAATCGAATGTACATTAAGTAAGTTTGCCGACGATACTAAACTAGGAGGAACTGTGGCCTCCCTCGAGGGTAGAGAGGCCTTACAGAGAGATCTGGATAGACTAGACAGCTGGACAATCACCAACCGTATGAAGTCTTTTAATAAGAGCAAGTGCTGAATTCTGCACCTGAGATTGGGGCAATCCTGGGTATATGTACAAATTGGGGGACGATAGTCTGGAGAGCAGCCCCATGGAAAGAGCTCTGGGGGTTTGGGTTGATGGCAAGTTGAATATGAGTCAACAGTGTGCCCTGGCAGCCAAAAGGGCCAACCGTGTCCTGGGGTGCACCAAGCACAGCATCGCTAGCCAGTTGAGGGGGTGATTGTCCCGCTCTACACCGCACTGGTGCGGTCCCACCTTGAGTATTGCGTGCAGTTTTGGGTGCCTCAATATAAGAAGGACATCAAACGATTAGAGTGTGTCCAGAGGAGGGAGACCAAGATGGTGAAAGGTCTCGAGGGCAAGACTTATGAGGAGCAGCTGAGGTCACTTGGCTTGTTCAGCTCGGAGAAGAGAAGGATGAGGGGTGCCCTCATGGCAGTCTGCACCTTCCCCAAGGGGGGCAGTGGAGGGGGAGGTGCTGATCTCCTCTCTCTGGTGACCAGCGACAGGACACGAGGAAATGGAATGAAGCTGCATTAGGGGAAGTTCAGATTGGACATCTCAGTTCTTCACTGAGGGGGCGGTCGATCGCTGGAACAGGCTCCCCAGGGAAGTGGTCACGGCACCAAGCCTGTCAGAGTTCAAAGAGCATCTGGACGATGCTCTTAGTCATATGATTTAGTTTTAGGTAGTCCTGCGAGGAGCAGGGAGGTGGACTCAATGATCTTTATGGGTCCCTTCCAACTTGAGATATTCTGTTCTATGATTCTATGAAATAAGTTTCACTGGTATCAAAACTGAAATTTAATGAAATGATGGAAGGTACCTCAAATGTGCAAACATGATCCTTATGGGTCCCTTCCAACTTGAGATATTCTATGATTCTATGTCAAAATAACAGATATATAAAGCAAGCTGATTTTCAGTCACCAGGGACATAATTTTGGTTGTAACCACCCCCCCCAACATCAAAATCAAACAAAAACACCCCAAACAAAAACAGCCTGATAACAAAAGCTAGTACCTTAATCATACACCATTTCATGAGGTTCATCAATACTTTGTAATCTGAAAAAGTGTTAATTTCTAACTAGAGGTAGCCAGATGGCACAACCAAGTTTTACACTTTAAAAACAGGATATTCTTCCACATGATGAAATTTATTCTGAAGCACCTTTCAGAAGTTAAATCTAAAGCTTTTCAGTAAGAATTCAAACTCCCCAAAAATGCTTGATAAACAAGTTAAGTTGGGTCTCACAAATAGTATTTGTCACTTCATTTACCTGTGGCTGAAGACTCTACCTCACTACTCCTAAGGATGGAAGTCCAACTACATTAAGCCCTCCTATCATTCTGTGATTATTTCAAGTATCACCCCTTAAGACAAGTCCCCAACATTGCAGAGATCTCGACATTAGTCAAGTCAGTAGTCTATATTAGAACTTTACTTAGTTATCAAACTGGTTATAGCTATGGGACTCCAACGGTACTGATGTATGGCAAAAAAAAAAAAAAAGTACTAGGGGAAAAAAGTCAAATGAAGAAAATGCTTCACATAAAAACACATTCACTACATTCACTACAAAAATAAATACATAAAAATAAAAAGATGTATTACAAGCCAAATCAATCCAATACTGAAATCACCATGGACTGACCCAGCACCCGTGACAGACTCAATCCCTGTATATTCTTCAGCTGAGTACTGTTTCTGAAGATACTCAGGCCGGCAATAATATTCACACATCTCAATGGCATGTTACCTTCTGAATTTTTAATGAGAATAATAAGTATTCAGATTAACACCCATTCATTGGCATTTCTGCAGCATACTTCATGAAGTATGCAGGAGCTATATATTTTATAAGAAAGCCTACAGGAGCAAAATGGAATAATATTAAACAAACAGGTTTTTAAAAGATCTTCTCCCACTTAATCTAATATAAAAAAAATTAAGATTATCATTAAGTATTGGCAAATTATTATAACTCCCTAGTCAAAAAGGACTCACCAACAAACAAGTTGCTTTCATCAAATATGACATTGAAAGTTGAGAGATATGTAATGTTACTCTTATCTGTTTTTCTAGAAATTTAAGAGCTTCTTAAAAAAACACAACAACCGAGGATGAAGGTGTTGCAATGTCAGTGTTCATGTAGGCAAGAAGAGGTTTAAGTTTTATACTGATAAGGTGACCAGTATCAATATGTGTGTTGGGAAGGGGGTAGGTAGAACCAAGAACTGTGCTATCATTCTTTTGAGCTATAAGAGTAGGAGTTCAGTAAAAACATTGTAAAACTTAAAAAACTTTTCTCATAACATTGGTTCTCCTGTTTTTAACGCCTATTCCTGTACTGCTACAGTAGGTGTTTTAATCTCAATTCTCTGCTTTCTAATTGCTTATTAGAACTGAACTTTCGACAGCACCCCCCTTTTTCTTTTTTTCTTTTTTTTTTAATTGCTTTACATCTAAAACGGTCATTTCTGCTGAAAAGAATGCATCCCTTCTCTCAACATCTTGACTGGAAGAACAGAATCACAGACAGAACTGCTCTAGTATTTTCAAAAACCATCCATGCATATGTCAAAATCAGAGTCTCCATTTACTGGGAACACTGAATAATTTGTTTCCTATTGCAAAAGTCTTCAGATTACTCTGGAAAAAAGTTATGAGCACTGCTGCAGACATGCAGATATTTAAATCTCAAACATGGATATTCATTCCTGTTCAATCAAGGATCTATGTTTTAAGGCTTAGGATAACTTTTTGAAACTTAAAAAAGAGTTTTTGAAACTTAAAACACTAATGTCAGTCTGAATTAGTATGAAGAAACACATTATACATGCTTTCTTCAACTTTAAATTGCAGTGGCAATTGATATGAAATTGATTCCTAAATCTACACAATCTCATCATTTTGTTATGTTCTTCATAAAGATGGGGAACCCTTGGCATGACTATGTACATAGAAGCATTGCACAGAGGTGCCCACAATAGCAGTTGTCAAGACGACGTGTTCATGGTACACCAGATATTACAGGTAATGTCACATGGAGATGTTTGTTTAAGCTTAAGTGCACAGTAGTATACCTTTGCATCCATCTGATGCTTAACAGGCTGTTAAGCTTGAGGTACCAGTGATACAGTTTAGGCTGCTTCTGGAGCTGAGCCTGAAATCCTCAGAAGTCTATTCAGTGATGTCTGTGCTACAGCCATTTTTAATATGCACAAGAACTAGCTACAGGAAACTCCTTCTAAGCATACAGCAAGCTAGATACAGTCAACTGAACAAGTCAACTGAAGCTTAAAGATGACTATTTCAAAATAACTAGGAATTGTAATTCCTAATACTTACTTAGTAAGATGTCGACATAATACATCTTTACAAATTGGCTGTTCAGCCAAAGTCAGCCAGAACTCGCAAGCCTCCAAAGCCACATTTTCATCTTGGTCCTGGGTCCTCTGAAGCATATACTACACAATATAAAAAAAGTTACTTGTATAAGATATGTTTTAAGTGCCCAGAAGAAGCTATCAACATTGCAAAGCATCTTTGCAAAACCAGACTATGCTACCAGAGTAATTTTGTTTCTTTGGGGCGAGGGGAAGAAACAGATATAAGAGACTACTTAAGGCTATGGTGAGAATAAGACAAGAGACATATTTCTTAATGCTAAATGATTCAGATTTTAAGTTTCTTCACTGCTTAAGTGAGAACATTATTACCAATAAACTACAGACAGAGACCCAAGATAAACAGCAGTTTCCTGAGAATAGTTGTGTTATTTTCTTTTTTAAATTATTATTTTACCACACACACACCCCTTTGCCCTTTTGAATAAAGAGGTACAACTATACACTTAGTAAGATGGAAATACTTTTTATATCCAGTACCATAAAAAAGCTTCCCTTTCAAATCTTGATTACCTGACAGGATGCAATTAAGTAGAACCCATAACTGGGGGGGGAGGAAGTCTCCCTTTTTTCTAGCATGAATGGTAATTGAGAGATTCAGTGCCAAATCTTGCTTTTAAAACTTAATCCCATTAAACAAAAAAAAACCACAAACCCAAAACAAACAATCAAATACCTGTATAAACAGAAAGCCTAAGTATACCTTGGCTACATCAGTTTCTTATACACAACTGCCAAAAAAAATTTAGGGAAGATGCTTGCAACTTACAAAATAGTAATTTTTGCATTCTTCCATGCCAGCCCTTATTTCTGAAACAGATGGTTCTTCCACTCATTTTAGAAGCCTCATGGAAGTCCATGCAGCTACCTTTCCTCGCACATGGATTTAAAACAAGCAAAGGAAATCCTTCTTCAGAATACCATTTTATGTTCAAAATTAAATAGAATGGGGTGACCTATATTATCCTTATGCATTTCAGGGATGCAAGATTTGCCATGAACACACCCCTTCCTACACAACTGCACTAAATTGCAAGTGTTTCCTAAAGGGTCACTACTGTGATTAAGAACTCACAGTAACAGAAATACTGCTCTATTCTGAGTTGTCAACAGATTACACCTTGGAAAAGTTGAAAAAAATGTCCTACCCATTGCAAGCAAGGCTTCATTAATGCACCTGAAGTGATTTGGCACTTTTCCCCCAGAGGGCTTGAAAATCCACTATTTTGTTGTATCCAGTTATTTGTCACAAAGACAAAAACAGAATGACAAAAAGTAATCTCTGTTTGAAGGTGCTCCTCACACTGTTATTTCTTCTTTAAGCATGTATTATCATATATGCTCCATGAAGTTAGGTAACAGTAGATTGAAAAGGCTACTTACACTCAGGGGTATAAGATAGCCATATACACAGACTGGAAATCATAGAATAGTTTGGGTTGGAATGGACCTTAAAGATCATCCAGTGCCACCCCCTGCCCTGGGCAGGGCCACCTCCCCCCAGCCCAGGTTGCTCCAAGCCCCGTCCAACCTGGCCTTGAACACCTCCAGGGATGGGGCAGCCACAGCTTCTCGGGGCAACCTGCCCCAGGGGCTCACCACCCGCACAGTGAAAGATTTCTTCCTAATAGCTATTCTAAATCTCCCCTCTTCCAGTTTGAAGCCATTACCCCTCATCCTATCGCTATGCTCCTTGATAAAGAGTCCCTCCCCAGCTTTCCTGTAGGCCCCCATAGTAAGAACAGTAACAAAGTGTGGGAAGAGTATTTGAAGGCTTTTCAAAAGCATAGAAAGGTTACTCAGAACTGGTCTGTGTACTCTGTAACAAAGTGTTGTGTTAGTCTTGTTATGTCAAACCATCAAGAAGAGACCAGCGTGATGTACAAAGCATTGAGAACACATCCGTTGAGCAGTAAGACATCTTTATCTGAAGAAATCAACAGGATGCACACAATCTTATGACTTCAGCAACAAGTTGATTTCCTGTGTTACAACTTTATAACATCAATACACTATTCATTTGTTACAACTAATCTCATTATGCATTGTATAATAAAAAGTTAGGACTTCTATTGAGAAAGTTCTTCGGAGCCATGGGTTTGGCTAAATATGCTCTATGAACATACAAGTGCAATCTAATAACTGAAATCTGTTTGGTCAGTCTACTCCTGACATATCCTGTTGTCATGTTCTCTGACAGAGGAAGGAGAAAAGAAAACAAAACCACACCACAAAAAAATACGCATCTGCTTCTGCTCACCTGGATGCACATGATCAAAAAACCCACTGAGATCCAAACTCAACCATTCCTGTATGCTCCAGGAACTTGGCAATAATCACAGAACCACAGAATGGTAGGGGTTGGAAGGGACCTTTGAAGATCATCTACTCCAACCCCCCTGCCAGAGCAGGGGCACCTCCAGCAGTGGCACAGGACAGCGTCCAGGCGGGTTTGGAATGTCTCCAGAGTGGGAGACTCCCCCACCTCTCTGGGCAGCCTGTGCCACTGCTCTGCCACCCTCACAGGAAAGAAGCTTTTCCTCATGTTGAGATGGATTTTCCCGTGTTCCAGTTTGTGCCCATTACCCCTTGTCCTGTCGCTGGGCACCACTGAAAAGAGTCTGGCGCCATCCTCTTGCCACCTGCCCTTTAGATATTGATAAGCATTGATGAGATCCCCTCTCAGCCTTCTCTTCTCTTCCATACCACGACCCATGCCCGCGCTATAAGAGGAGCTAGCTGGGGAGGGGGGGCGCAGTTGCCACTTGGGGGTGGGCTGCGGTCCAGTCGGTGTGCTGCATGGCAGTATTGCGTCTTTATATCCCTTTATCAGTGTTATTGTTTGTTGGTTTTTTTCCATCTTCCCTTTTAGTTGCACTATTTCAAACCACGAGTTTTGCTTTTTTCTGTCGATTTTTCCCACGGCTGTGGGAGTTGAGCGAGTGCCTGCGTGGTTCTTTGTTGCTGGCTGAGGCCAAACCACAACAATAGCCCTCCACTGGACTCTCTCCAGTAGTTCCTTGTCTTTCTTGAACCGGGGAGCCCAGAAATGGACACAATATTCCAGATGTGGCCTCACCAGGGCAGAGTAGAGGGGGAGGATACCACCAGGGCACGTTGCTGGCTCATAGTCCTTGTTGTCCACCAGGACTCCCAGGTCCCTTTCCACAGAGCTGCTCTCCACAGCCTTCTGGTGTGTCAGCCACTCCTCCCAGTTTTGTGTCATCAGCAAACTTGCTGATGGTACACTCTGTCCCCTCATCCAGGTCATTGATGAATATATTGAACAGGACTGGACCCAGTACTGACCCCCGGGGAACACCGCTAGTTACAGGCCTCCAACTAGACTCTGCACCGCTAACCACAACCCTCTGAGCTCTATCTGTCAGCCAGTTCTCAATCCACCTCACTGTCCATTCACCTAACCCACACTTCCTAAGCTTGCCTGTGAGGATGTTATGGGAGACAGTGTCGAAAGCCTTGCCGAAATCAAGGTAGACAACATCCACTGCCCTCCCCTCATCCACCCAGCCAGCCATGCCATCATAGAAGGCCATCAGATTGGTCAAGCATGTTTTCCCCTACGGTGAATCCATGTTGACCACTCCCAGTAAAGAGAAAGAAGAGAAAGTTAATACTAAACCTGTCTGCTTCAAAAGCATGATGCTGGCCAAGACCTTCTGTCTTAGAATCGCTACTGGATTGTTAATATTCTTAACTACTTTAAAAGCAATTCTCCATAAGCATAAAAAACCCATCACATGGATACAAGTTTCTCTTTTTTTAAGACTTCCTTCAGTTAGAGCAGCCACCATCAGCAGCATTCAACTTTGAGGTATTCAAGCTTCAAAGGGACAAAACCAGACTTATTTGGGTGTTGAACAATAGTCAGTTCTGGGATATTGCATTTGCACATACCAATATGTATATAGAACTGAGGAAATCAGTAACAGTACACAGTAGTCCCAAAACTGGGGAAAAAAAGTCTAAACTTTGTTATAGAACAAAAATTCACTACTACTGAAAATAAAACCCAAAACCCAATAAAACAAAAGAAAAAAAAATACCACCACACCTCAAGTACCAACAATCCCTACTTGTCCTGTGTTACAGGAGAACGTCTGCCAGGGTTGGTGTCATGGAATTCCAGATAACACATAGGAAGACTAGACAGCAGGCCAGGTCTGTCACAGGTCACCTCAGTTTTATGCCTCTCTAATGCATTTGTCCAGGAGCAAAAAAACCTTAACACCTTCTTCAAGTTGTCTGGACCTAGCCCTTATGGAATTTGACACTGGGTTATGGCCCACTTGTTCACATGAAATCTGCATGAGAAACATACTGATCTTCACTATATTCCTAGTCTAGCGAGTAGTGTATGTAAAGGCTACCTAGAAACTGCCAGTATTTCCCAGAAACATAGAAATTACAATTGAAACAGTTGAGCAGACAAAAATCAGCTGGTAGGCAAGCCTGCACTAATCTAGGATGATAAAGAAACTATCGAATGACACTAACCTCTACAACTGAATTCAATGGCAGGCAGCTTTGTTAGTAGCTCTAAGAGCATCTCAGCAATACAAAATAACATTCCTTATCCTTGTGATCAAAAGATCCAAAAGAGGCGACAGCTTCAACATGTAAACTGTAGCAGTATCAGCACTAGAACTAAGATTTTTAACATGATCTTCTTGCTTGTGTTCAGGCAATGCCTGGCTGCTCCATGGTATAGCTGATTTTGCCATTTCAGGATCAATGAACTTAATGAAGAATGAACAACTGCCATATGCATTGTCTGACAAATACAACATGAAGTTGGCAATTAACTAAAAAGAAAACTTTCACAACCTCAATCTTGAAGGAAAACAAAGAGTAGGCAAGCGCAAGAGTAACATACCTGTTCTGATGAATGTTTTTAATTTGTTATTATTATAATATTAAAAATATTGTTATTATTACAAGGCCAATGGGATGAGGTTCAAGAAGGCTCAGTACTGGGTCCTGCACTTGGGTCACACCAACCCCATGCAGCACTACAGGCTTGGGGAAGAGTGGCTGGAAAGCTGCCCGGCAGAACAGGACCTGGGGATGCTAGTCGACAGCCGGCTGAACATGAGCCAGAACTGTGCCCAGGTGGCCAAGAAGGCCAACGGCATCCTGGCCTGTATCAGGAATAGTGTGGCCAGCAGGACTAGGGAAGTGATTGTCCCCCTGTACTCGGCACTGGTGAGGCCCCACCTTGAGTACTGTGTTCAATTTTGGGCCCCTCACTACAAGAAAGACATAGAGGCACTGGAGCGTGTCCAGAGAAGGGCAACGGAGCTGGTGAGGGGTCTGGAAGCACACGTCTCATGAGGAGCGGCTGAGGGCCCTGGGGGTGTTCAGCCTGGAGAAAAGGAGGCTGAGGGGAGACCTTCTCACTCTCTACAGCTCCCTGAAAGGAGGGGGTAGTGAG